CAGCCAGAGGCATAACTAGAAACCAGTTACCCCCCGCCACCATACGTATAACCCATACGTCTCCGCCCCCACATGCAGACACATACATGTAGACACAAACATACAGACACACGAACACACACACTCATACACATACACACAGAGACCCATGCATGCAGACACAAACTAACATACACAGATGCAAAATGTTTACGTCACCCTCCTTTTTCCTACCTTTTAGGTGCAGGAGGGTGACTTTCCCTAGGGTCCAGTGGCTCTGGCTGATGGGAGTCAGAGTACAGCACTGACCAGGCCCCTGGAAAAATTTATTTCACCACCCGATGGGTCCCTGAACATGTGGCCCCGGAGGTTACACTGCGCGGGCCGGGGCCACAACACATGGCGGCAGGCACCCGGTCACAGGGGTTCACAGTGCGGCCGGGGCCCCTGGAGTGACGGGCCTGGTCACAGCTGCGACCCCTGCAACCGCGGTAGGTCCGCCACTGGTGACAGCTCTTTTACACAGGAACTCATTGCACATCAAGGGGAACATTCCTAGATTTAATCTTGCAAACCAGACCACAGGATACCCCTCCATGCCCGCCTCAAAGATTATGTAATGTTTATTGATATAAGGGAATAATTGTTAATCACTGCAGATTTTGACCGTTTGTGAACTACATTTTCAATGATGTTTAGAAATGACAGACAGACAGATGTTCAAAAGTATTGAATATAGTCTGCTGTTCTGAAATCTGCCATTCCAACTGTTCACACATGGCCAAGTCTTGGGGGTCCTATTGGTGTTCTAGGAACATGAAGTATGCACAATGAAGAATTAATTAGCAAGTTGGCAAAAATTCACTACTTTGCCACTATTTCATTTTGATATTTGAAATTGATATTTAAGAAAATGTTAATTGTAAGAGAACAATATTTTTACTTGTTTAAACACATTCCCTTAGAGGTAACAGTCTTTTTCATAACTTCACAATTGCCCAGTGACTTATCTAATGAAATGGAGATAACAAAGTGCAATTAAAAGAAGAAGAATCCACCAATTTACAGCAGCCATCCAATGAGACCAAGCTATAATTTCCTCCAATGGAAAAGTTTCCTGGACCACCAACAACAGTCCTAAAAATGGAGACAAAAAAAAGTGTAATTACCTTAAAATCAAGTATGAAAATGATAGATAATACAATGGCTCTGTTTCCATGCATATCTTCTACGAACAAGTTATAAAGTTGAAGAAGCATATAGCAGGGGAACAAACAACAACAAAAAAATAAAAATACAACAATCGTAAAATACCAGGTTTAGAAAATAACATGGATAATTTTTCTTTAGCAAATTGCTGTTGGTTACTTTGTAACTTTGAATTGTAAGTTCAAGAGTCATAGATTCTAGATTTCACTGAGAACAAAGTACAAAAAAAGAAGAGGGGATGTAACATGTAAATTTGCTTAAAGAAAAGGTACACCAGTATTTTATGGCAGTGTAATTCCTAATAAAGCTGGGACAATAACCCTTAATTTTATATATATAAATCCAAACAGGTTATGGTGGAGAAAAATTGTGATTGAAGACCCCTTCCACCTGAAGTCTGTGGATAGTCAATACAATGTTAAACAAAAATCTACACACCAGTCAAGCCATAAGACTTGCTTTTACCACAGAAATCACAAATCTGCAGTGATGTTACTACCGCAAAGGATTCTGGGTGAGTATATGCAAATTAGTGTAACAAAGAATCAAATTTTTGCCTCATTCCATTTTAAACATGAATTCATTTGAGGCTGTGTTTGCATGAATTCATTTGAGGGATGTCATGTGTCCTTAAGGGGTTAAAATGGAATGAGGCAAAAATGTGATTATTTGTTAAACTAATTTGCATATGTTCACCCAGAATCCTTTGCGGTAGTAACACCACTGCAGATTTGTGATTTCTGTGGGAAAAGCAAGTCTTATGGCTTGACTGGTGTGCACATTTTTGTTTAACATTGTATTATATATGTATGTATATATATATATATATATATATATATATATATACTGAGCACTGTTGTTCAATATATACTGAACAGTTTACACTGTGTAATATTTATAACAAATATGAAATAATTAGACTTACCCCAAACCCCAAATAATTAGACTAATCCTCAAATTCCCAGACTGACACGTGGATATAAGTTTTTCTGTCTTAATAAAATCTTTATTTTACCCGTGTGAGAGTTATATCACATTCAGATATTGGCAAACCTCGCATTAATATGATTATTTTGGTACTTTTGTATTTTAGTTTATTTTATAAAACTGTGCATGAAAAAGAGTTACTCTTTGGAGTAAGTAGATTTGTACTTACTAAATTATTAATAGAAATTGCAAGTGTCTATATGGCAAAACAATGTACTATTTTTGCATTTATAATTAATTCCCACAATTATTACTTTATTATTTAAACACCACATTTAGTGTCATAGTGCTCACCGATTGTAAAGTTCCAGGCAGCAGTCATTTATTGCTGGAGTCCTTTCTGGCAAAATCGATGAATTAAAGAAGGCATTTTCTAAGATATCTTGGCAAGTGTTTTGTAAAACCGGAGCAGTTAATATTCCTGAAAATTATACAATGATGCATTAATTTTGTTGAAGTTGACATTAAAATTAGTAAAACGCAATTCACACTATAATCCCCACTTCTCTATCTTGAAGCTTTTTAAACGCATATGAGGCTAATTCCACAAGAATGCTCAGGTCCCACAACTTTCAAGGGTCCTTACACAAATTTAGACATTCCCAAAACTGAATATCTATATTATCACTCATACATCCCTGACAAGGCCTAAAAGGCTGAGATCATGGTTTGCGCTTGCTGTAACTCTTGTGCAGAAGGAGCTGACTTACATTTTGGATCTGTACTTCCCTTTTGGGTCTGTTATGCAAATAGTTTAGGTTCTCTCAGTAATGGCACAAGATCAGCTAAAACCAGCTTGAGAACTGAGCAAACCTTTGGTAATTATGGTGTCCTCTTAATTACATTTTTCAAACCATTTTAGAATTGTCTCCCAGGTGCCCGCACTGAATCCAGTCTCCTCCTTCTCAGTGGAGGTCTTTATAGAGCTAAAGTAATAATAAGCACACCCTCTTTAAGCATTTAATCAAATTTATTTTCAGTAATTTAATTTTAAGACTACCAGTTTTTGTTGTGTTTAGAACTCTGTAGAGTGTATTAACTATTAACTATTAACGCACCTGCAATGCAGGCAGTCATGAAGCAAGCCACAGTGCCAGCGATCATTGCTCTGATGGCACCAGCTGCAATATCCCCTTTTCTGCTTGGAGCCATTGAACCTGAGCAAAATTAAAAAAAACATATATAATTGTTATACGTGGGCATGAAACTAATTCCATCAAGTATACAACAATATGAGTTTGACAATTCTTTTTTTGTCTGTTAAAATAGTCTTAAAAAATGTGGTAGTGAAGATTTTAAGAGAGAGAAATCAACTTCCCCGATTTTCCTACTCAATCTTTTTGGCGTGTCAAAATAAAAAATGAAATAATTATGTTTTTTTAATGATATAAAATGCACAAAAGTGCCCTGTTTTAATATCACTATTAAACAAAAATAGCATAAACCCATGCAAAAGTACCAATAGAGGACAATATAGAGAGGGCAGTGAGGTAAAATTTGGGCGTAAGTAAAAACACAAAAATTTGGGCGTGCCTGGGTCAAAAGAATCACAAGTAATTTCACACACTTCTTAGAAATGCACAATGTAAAAATGCATATAGATTATATATGAATACAAAAAAAAAAGAATAAAACTACCATAAAGTGTCTCAACATTTTGGTAAATATAGTCACAATGAAATGGGCATAAAAACCTCTCCCCTCTGATGAGTAACCCAGACGAAACGTGCGCGTCAAGGGCTCAGGAAGCCTAGCTTGACATTCCTCTGCTGCTGCACTTATTCAGCCGCGGTCTGACTAGCGATCTTGCTTTTACAACTAGGCATTCTTTTTACATGTCCTATCATCTGTCTCTTTATTCCTTTTTGGGGGGTTGAGTTATATAGTATAGGCATTTATTAAGGGGTGCCCTCGAAGGCACTTAGTTTTTCTATCTTACAAGCGTCAGGATTACCTATATTTCCTACATTTCTATTTATCATTGCATCTAATCCTAGCTTGTTATTGCCTCCTATACCTCCCTATTTACAGGTATTCTCTGCCTCTTTGTATTAGAGATACTTTATCTATATACAGCAGACCCTGTCCTGCAGGAGGAGTTCAGAGGATACCAATACTCCACCCTCCTATCTTGAACATTGTTTATGGCAAGTGGCTTCACCTTTTACTATTTACGTATCTCTCTGTATTTACACCTTTTTGGGGGGCTGAGTTATATAGTATAGGCATTTATTAAGGGGTGCCCTCGAAGGCACTTAGTTTTTCTATCTTACAAGCATCAGGATTACCTATATTTCCTACATCTCCATTTATCATTGTATCTAATCCTAGCTTGTTATTGCCTCCCATACCTCCCTATTTACAGGTATTCTCTGCCTCTTCTTTATTAACTATTGCAACCATATTGGTGTACTGTTTAACCTCTTGTGTATTAGAGGTACTTTATCTATATACAGCAGACCCTGCTTTGCAGGAGGAGTTCAGAGGATACTAATACCCCACCCTCCCATCTTGAATTCAATGACATTGTTTATAGAAAGTGGCTTAACTTTTTACTATTAAAGTATCTCTTTATATTTACACCTCTCTTGCTAGCAAGCTTCAGGATTACCTATAGTCTCTATATTTCTACTGACCATTATATCTAACCTAGCTTGCAACTGTCTCCTATACCTCTCTATTTTATAGGTATTCCCTGCCTCTTTTCTATTAACCATTGCAACCA